AGTGACGTGGAGTGAGGCACTTGGAGATCTGTGGAAGGTCTGCCTGACATCTCTGCAGTGAGGGGTTCTGGGATTGCCGCGCTGGCCGTGGCTCACTGGCATGTCTCTGCTGCGCTGGCCCATGTCTCCGGGCTCTGAGGACAAAGCCCAGCACTGCGGTGAGACACAGCACCTTAGCCTTAAGCCTTCCCAGCTGTACTCCAGCCAGGTCTCAGTCTGGTCTGCATCCAACCTGCTCTCCTCAAATATAAGTGTTCCGACATGGAGTACATTTGTAAATAAATTTCAGCTTTATTTATTTGAAAGTCACTTAAAGAGAGGCAGGGATAGATCTTTCAGTTGCTGTTTCACTCCTCAAATGCCTGCAGTGGCTGGTCTGGCCGGGCCAGGCCTCAGGGAGGAGCTGCTGCTTAGTCTTCCTGTGAGTGACATGTGAGTGACGGGGCCCAGGCGCTTGGATGTCTGTCTTCACTTCTCCAGGCCGTTTGCTGGCGCTGGGTTGGGAGTCAGGACACGGCCGACACCCATTTGGAAATGGGGGATCACAGGGGCTTTACTGGTGCAGGCAGGGCGTGGCTGCCTGCAGTTCAACTTTTGTCTTCTTGAGTTGATGTCTGTGATATCCCTATGTGCAAGAGTTTTGTCTGTTACCACATCTTGTAAAGTATAAGGGGAAAAGACTGAAAGAGAAAGCAGATTGGGGTAGTAAGGTGAGAATTTAAAGTAGGTATTGATTTTTTAGTGCAACTCAGACTTGGAAGGCATTCAGTTTGTTGTTTTTAATGTAACAGGAGACCTCTTTGAGACTTTGATGAACCCTGTGGTGTGTCCTGAGAAAGTCCACATTCTCAGTTCAAGGCAAGGGCTTTAGCTGCTAGGCTACCACGTTGGACCCACATTTTTTTTTTTTTTAAGAGTTTGTATAATAGATTCTGTCTTTTGGCTGACTCATTTTGTAAATGTCTGCAATGGCCAGGGCTGGGCCATGCTGAAGCCAGGAGCTTCTTCATCCAGCTCTTCCATGGAGGTGCAGGGGCCCAAGGATTTGAGCCATCCTCTGCTGGTTTTCCAGATGCATTATATTTGGCAGGGGGCTGGATCAGAAGTTGAATAGCCAAGACAAGTACTCTGCTCATATGGGAAGCCAGAGTTGCAGGTGGCAGTTTAATTGGGTACACTGCCAGCCCTGCAAATGTTACCTTTTAAAGACTGATTTATTTGTTGTTTTGAAAGGAAAAATTACAGAGGGAAGAGACGGAGATCTGTTTGCTAGTTCACTCACTAAATGCCTGCCACAGCTAGGATGGGACAGGCTAAAACCAACTTCCAGGAGCTTGTTTGGGTCTCCCACATGGGTGTAGAGACCTAGGCCCTTGGAGCACCTTCTGCTTTTCCAGGTACATTAGCAGGGATTGAAGTGAAGTGGCACCCATGTGGATGCTGGCATCCAGATGATTGCTTAATCTGTCACTACAAATGTTGTCCTTATGTTGGCAAGGATGCTAGGAGCTGAAAGTGTTTATCACTTTTTAGGCTAGATAATGTGATACCCTTTTTTGATACATAATGAAGTGAAGTTACCATAGTATTTCTTCCTTTTTCCAATAAAAAATAAATCTTAATTAAAAAAAAATCAGATTTACAGAGAGAAGGAGAGAGACAGATCTTCCATTTGCTGATTTACTCACCAAGTAGCCTCACTGGCCAGAGCTGAGCCGATCTGAAGCCAGAAACTCCTTTCAGGTCTTGTTTACTTGAAAGACCCAAATGATCACAGCCAAAATCCTGGAAACTATTCGGGTTTTCCACATGGATGTGAGGAGCCCAAGCATCAGGCAACAACCTTATTCTGCTTTCCTAGGCCTGCATGAGCAGGGAGCTGGATCCAGAGGCTGGGTAGCCAGGACATGAGCCAGCGTTTACATGAGGTTCCGGTATTGCAGGTGGCAGGGGGCAGCCTAGTTTTCTGCCCCGCAATGCCAATCCCCAAACACTCTGCCCACGTGGCTGTACCATTGCCCGTTCTTGTCAGCGGTGAGGGAGAGTTCCTGCTGCCCGTCCTCCTCACTACCGCTTACGCTGTCAGTGTCTAGGCTCTTTGCCATTCTTACAGGTGTGTGGTGATGTCTTGTTTTAATTTGGTAATTGATAATGTTGATCATATTTTTGTAGGTTTCTTTGCCAGTTGTTTCTTTGAGGTGTCAGATATTTTTGAGTTTTTTCTGTTTTAGCTTTCCTATTTTGAATTTATTTGTGTAAAGGGAGTACATTTCCTATTTAATGTCATTTTTCATAGTTTAAGAGTATAATGCTACTTTCCACCCTGCCTTCTGTCACTCCTACCCTCATTCTTCCTGCCTTTTAAATTTTATAATGAGATGCTTTGAATTTGTTTTATAATCACAAAGGTTAACCCTCCACTGAATAAGGAATTCAGCAAGTAGCAAGTTCCAGATCCACTGTTCTTCACTTTTCAAAGTGCAAGAGCTGTTAACAGTCATATCAATTCAAAGTGTCAGTTTCACTCACTTCTACTTTTTTGTGTACTGTATATTACCACAAATTAGGGAACGCATGATCTTTGTCTTTTGGGATTGCATGTATTTGCTTGGCGGACTGGATCCACTTGTATCCGTTTCTTACTGTGGCTGAGTGGCATTTCCTCAAGTGTGTGCAGCCATCAGTTGATGGGCATCTGGCTCGAGAGTATGACATAGCTGCTCCTCGTGGACATTCCCGTTCTCTGCAGCTTCTTCCGTTTGTGGATCCCAGCTTGTGTGTCTTTCCTTTTCTACTTGTCTGAGTGTTTTCTCATGAAAGGAGTTTTCTGTCATAGGAGGATTCTCTAGAAAAACAAGCGTCTGTGAGAGTAGGTGTTAAAGAGTAGCTTTGTCAAGTTCTTATTTTTTTCTTGTTATTTTGCTTATTTGAAAGGCAGAGAACAAAGTGCATGCACGCATGCCTGTCTGCCAGTTTTCCCCCCAAATGTCTAGGAGCCAGGAACTCGGTCCAGGTCTCCTGTGTTGCTCTGAGAGACCTGATGACTTGCTGGTACCTGCTGTCTCTTAGGGTACACATCAGCAGGATGCTGGAATTGAGAGCAGAGCTCCAGGCACACCAGTAGGGGAGACAGGTGTACCAAGCAGCATCTTAGCAGTTGGTGGCAACATACACTCCTTAAAGAAGTTATTATATTTTTGGTGTGTTAAATTTCTCTCTTGTTTATTTGAAAGGCAGAGAGAAAGAAAACAGAGGGAAATACATTCTTTGTGCAATTTCATTTATGACAGACTGATGTGGGCCAGGCTGAAGCCAGGGGCTGGGAATTCAATTTGGGTCTCCCACTAGAATGGCAGTGACTCAGACACTTGAATAGCAGCAGGAAGCTGTACTTGAAAGTGGAGCTGACACTCCCAGCCAGGGCCTCTAATGACATGCTGGCTTCCAAGAGCTGTCTGCTTGTGAGTGCTCCCGGAAATCTGTCCCAAAAATGATTTTTTAAAGTTCTGTTTATTTATTTGAAAGTCAAAGTTGGAGAGACAGCTGCTAATTCACTCCCAAGGAGCGCCTTTTGGTCTTCCACCCAGACGGCAGGGCCCAGGTTACTTGTACCACCTTCATTGCCTTCTCAGGCATAAGCTCGATTAGAAGCAGAGTAGCCAGGACTGAGTCTACACTCTAGTATGAAACACTGGGATTCTCAGTCAGCCAAACCAAATATTGGCCCTTCCAAAATAGGATTTTTAAAAATATTTTTGGTTTATTTAAAAATATTTTAAAAAGACAGTTTCAGAAAGAGGGAAAGAGAGAAATCTTCCATCCGCTGGTTCGCTTTTTCCATGACTGCAACGGCTGGACCTGGGCCGGCCTGAAACTAGGAATGAGGAACTTCTTTTGGATCTCCCACATGGTTGTAGGGACCCAAGAACTTAATCATCCTCTGCTGTTTTCCAGATGCACCAGCAGGGAGCTGGTCCATATGGGATACCTGTGCTGCAGGCAGACGTCTTCTATTATTTTTATTTTAGAAAGGTTTTTTTTTTTTTTTTAGTTGGAAAGGCAGATATACAGAGGAGATATAGAGAGGTAGATATTCCATCTGCTGGTTCACTTCCCAAGTGGCTGCATTGGCCAGAGCTCAGCTGATCTGAAGCAAGGAGCCAGGAGCTTCTTCAGGTCTCCACATGGGTGCAGGGTCCCAAGGCTGGGCCATCCTCCACTGTTTACCCAGGCACAGGGAGCGAGCTGGATGGGAAGCGGACCAACCGGGATACAAACAGGTGCCTGTATGGGATTCCTTGAGTGTGCAAGGTGAAGATTTAACCACTAGGCCATGGTACTGGGGCATAGGCAGCAGTTTTTCTTTCCTAAGCCACAGCACTGACCCCTATTTTTAAATATACGGAGAGGAGGAGAGAGAGAGAGAGAGGAAGATGTTCCATTGATTGATTCACTCCCCAAGCAGCTGTAACCGCTGGAGCTGAGCCGATCTACTCCCAGGCCACAAGCAGGGAGCTGGATAGGAAGCAGGGCTGCTGGGATTAGAATTGGCACCCATATGGGATCCCTGTGCATGCAAGGCGAGGACTTTACCCACTGGGCTACTCCCCTGGTCCCCATAAATTGATATTGAATGTTAATTTTTCAGTTTCTCCCTTGAAAAGCTTTTTTCTTAATTTCGTAGTAATGGCCAGTATGACTAGAAGGCTAAATATTTACACAAAGCATTTGTATGTAATTTAAAATGTTAATGACAGTATTTACAGAGACATACTTCTATGATTTCAGCTGTGATGATGGGGAAGTTATGGGTGGGTTGTCGTGGAATGTGTCTACCTGGGAAAGGGTGTTCAGGATCTTTTGGTGCTTGGGCAGAGAAAAAGATTGAGAAATGACTATGTTTTATTTGGTTGGGTTTAGGTTTATTTATTTTAATGTTAAGTTAATTTCTTAAATGTGGAGTATAAATTCTTCTAAGAAGAGCCCTTGCTCTCTCCTAGGACTGGCAGCCTCCATTTGCATGTGATGTTGATAAACTTCATTTTACCCCACGGATTCAGAGGTTAAATGAGTTGGAGGTAAGATCCTCGTACGTGTGCTGGTTGCCTGTGTTTCAGAGGGATCTTATTTAGAGCTTGAAGTAACTCAAGGCTAATAAATGATAATGACACTAAGGCCATTGCACACGCAAGTTTAAATCAAAATTGTCAATTTTTGTCTGTCATTTTTGGCCTATTCATTAGTGTGATCAGGTTTAAAGACTGCTTTGAGAGCTGGGTGGAAGACAAGATTATGCAGCCCTAACTTCCCTCCCAGTGCATCACCTGACTTGATTTGGTAACACTTTGGGAAGAGGCACCTGGGGTGTTCTCTGCAGGACCCCTGTTTTCTTCAGTTTTGTTCTGCCTGCAGCTGCAGGTGCCTCAGGTGGAGGACACATGGGGGCTGTTTACCTAGAGGTGGCTGCTGCTGTTAACCTGTGAAAAAGATTTTTCCTATCTAAAATGGGGCTTGTCTCAAGAATTCTGTGGTTTCAGTTGAGCTTGGGGGCGGGAAATGTGCCTTAGCTTGAGGCCCTGGTGTCCCTGAGAGTGCAAGATAGCACTCCCCAGGCCAGCTGTGCGGTACTAGAAGGAGAAGCAGCATGGCTGGGAGAGAACTACAGCCATCTGTTAAAGGAAAGACACTTAAGATCATTTCCCTTTTATGAAAGTTGATCACCATTGTCTAAGCAAAAAGAAAACTTTTGCTTGAAAAGAGCAGGCCTTTAAAAATATCCAGTTGTAGAGACTAACCTAGGTATATAGCAGTTTACTTTCAATTTTAATCAGTAACATGAAATTGCTTTACAGTACTTCCTAAATTGCTTACAGTATTTCTTTAATTAAGTACTTTTCAGAGTGACTACTTATGGGAGTGGATACTGAATGTAACATCTTGCCTGGCATGTGTTAATTGCCGAGTTAATGGGTGATTATTACTACAGACGGTTGGCTGTTTCTCTGTTGGATTTAAGAAGTAATATTGTACATAAATGTTCTTAGAATGAAAACATTTTAGGGCAGGCAGTAGCTGGGAGATGTAAAACAGGTAGGTGAAATTAAAAATCCCTGCTATATGTCTTCCAGGCCCAAACTCGTGTAAAATTGAATTTCTTGGACCAGATTGCAAAGTATTGGGAGTTACAGGGAAGTACGCTGAAAATTCCACATGTGGAAAGAAAGATCTTGGACTTATTCCAGCTTAATAAGGTAATCAAACCAGTTACGGTTCTACTGATTTAATACTTTCTACCAGATGAATTTGATATTTGTCTTAGAAAGAAGCATTTTGCTTGAAATACATAAAATGAGACTCTGAAAGCCTCATCCTTTGGAATATTCTGTTTTGATCCTTAAAAACTTCACGATTATCTCAGGAATGTTCATTTCTTTTTTAATGCAAGGATATTGAGGTTTAGGTTACCAAGCTAAAAAGCCAGGATTCAGTACTGTGTCCATCGCATCCCAAAGCCTCCATTTATTTTCCTTACTGCACATGCTGCTGCTGGGTCCCCTTCCTGGTTTGCGGAGGTGCTAACATTAACCTGTTTCCCAGATGGCTGCCTTGTGGAAGCACTCAGCAGCTTTGGGAGGGACTTTAGGATGGTTTATGGGTGGTTCTATCAAGGAGATGTTTTTTAAGTTTCTTCTAGCTTAATTTATACTGTATAAATTTCTTTGAATTGCAAAATGTATTTTCGTAAGATAATCCCAGCCTGAAACATTTTGTCTTTGGTGTTGTATGTAGGCTTGGAAATTTTAAATGATTTCCAAATCAGTGTTTCTAATTTCTATTGCTGTTTTATTTTGATAGTTGGTTGCAGAAGAAGGTGGATTTGCAGTTGTTTGCAAAGATAGAAAATGGACCAAAATTGCCACCAAGATGGGGTTTGCTCCTGGCAAAGCTGTAGGCTCACATATCAGAGGGCACTATGAACGCATCCTCAACCCCTACAACTTATTCCTGTCTGGAGACAGCTTGAGGGTGAGTTTGGAATTAGTGTTAACCTGCTAATTTCACTGCTTTATGACACGTTGAGATTGGATCTGGAAGACCTTGTTGGAAATACTGGCTTTGTTTTTTTCTCCCCGGTGTGTTCTGCTTTGAGAGCACCCTTTCTTAGGAGTTTGTTGATTATAATGTGTGAGACCATAGAGGGAATGTGCTTCTACTGTCCACAGCTGAACTCTGCATTCCCTTCCCTAGGGGATCAGCCAGTAGGAGCCAACTTGTGTCTGTTGGTTTCATCATCACTTGGATTTTTCTTTTGCTGGTTTATTTCCTGAATGGTTGCAGTGGCCACGGCTGGTCCAAAGACAGGAGCTTCTTCCGGGTCTCAAGTGCATGCAGGGGCCCAAGTCTTTGGGCTGTTTTCTGCTGTCTCCTTATTTCCGCCTCCCCCTACCATTAGCCGGGAGCTCTATTGGAAGTAGAGCAGCTGGGGCTTGAACTGGTGTGCAGGTACCCATATGGTGATTACCCATAAGGTGGGAGATTAACCTGCCAGCCCATCCACTCACTTGATTTAAAAGCATTCTTGATTGCCACATGAAGATGCAGCCTATAAAATAACTTGCTTGCCTTCTCCCTTTGGCCAGCAAGATTTCCAAGGAGATTGTCCAGTGAAATGTTACAATAAAAAAGGCTGAAGGTAACAGCTTTTTATGTAGTCATGTTCAGGTAAAGGAAGACAATATAAAGGTTTCCCTCTTGAGGCAACCAGTTGGGACACCAGCACCCCATGTTGCAACAGTGATTCCATCAAGCCCTCTACTGTCATGTTGCGTTCTGGAAGATGATAGCCAAGTGCTTGGGCCCCTGCCACCTACAAGGGAGAGTCAGATGGAGTTTGGGCTCGTGACTGTGGCCTGGTACCACCTGCTTGTGGTGAGCATGGGGAGGGTTCCAGCTGGTGGAGGATTTCTCAGACTCTTGGTATAACTTTCAAGTAGATGAAAACAAACAAACGTGAAAACAACAACAGCAACACAGTCCATGAACTTCGGTTATTTGATGGTCTTGATAGAAATATCACAATCTGTTCACACACCGTCAGCAATATGAGCATATTGTTTTTCTTTGCCCTTCTTGACGTCCCCCCCCCCCGCGGTGATTCTTTTTAACCTGGAAGAAAGTAGCCAATCTGATATCAAAACAGTTTTTGTGTGATGACTGTTTAGTGGGCCTAGTATGCCTGTTTCATAGCCTGCCTTTGCTATAGTTGCCCCTGGGCATTAATTTTCTCTTGAATTCAGAAAATGTTTACCTGCCTTTTGGTGCCAGTATCCTTTATGGGCACCTGTTAAAGTTCCATCTGTTCTATTTCCAATCCAGCTCTCTTCTTATGGCCTAGGAAAGCAGTGGAGGATGGTTGAAGTCTTGGTGGCCACTGTACCATGTAGGATACCCTGAGGAGGCTCCTGGTTCTTGCCTTCAGATGAGCTCAGCTCTGGCTGTCCTGGCCATTTGGCAAATGAACTAGAACTAGCAGATGGTAGATTGCCCTCCCCCCGGCTGCCTTATAGATACCCACTTTCTTTGCCTTCTCTGGAATGAACCAGCAGGTGGATTCTGTGTCTCTCCTTCTCTGTAATTCTCCCTTTCACCAGGTAAACATCTTTTCTAACTAATGTGTTTATCGTGCACATCATTTACATAAATAATTGTAAAAATTTCTTTCTAAAATCCTCACTAGGATTAATAAAAGCCACAGAGTGATTGGTACAGTTGTGTTTCCTTTCTAGTGTCTGCAGAAGCCAAACCTGACAACAGACACCAAAGACAAGGAGTACAAGCCCCATGATATTCCTCAGAGGCAATCTGTGCCACCCTCAGAAACGTGCCCCCCGGCCCGTCGTGCCAAGCGTATGCGAGCGGAGGTGAGTGCCCATGGAGAGCGAGCAGCAGGACTCCTGGTGCTGGGCTGCTCGGGAAACTGAATGGATTCTGGTTTTCACACACTGTGAAATGTTACCATCGAAAGGGTGAGGTCTGGGTTTATGTGGCCTGGAACAGACAGCTGTTGGTCAAGTAGGTCTGAGAAGAATCAGTGTTCTCGGTTAGCTATCTAGGTTGATTGTCCCAGGGTTAGGCAGTGTCTGTTAACCTGAGGCTGGGGCCCATGGAGATTTGTTAGATTTGATAGCAGAGGTTAGAAAACAGGCAGAGACGTTCCTTAGACTTCCCAAAACGGAATGTAGAACCCCCTGGCAGGTTTTCGTGCTTATGAAAGACAGACTGGGCACCTGAAGAGAATGCTCAAGACAACACATTGAACCAGACAGGGGTGATGGGGGAGTAGCGAAAGACTGCTAAGAACTGTTTACATGTGGATTTTCTGCTGGGAGATGTTTCTCCTGGGAAAGGGAGAGTTTCTGTAGGTGTGGGGTGCTTGCTTCCTACCCAGCTCAGTGGCCTTGTGCATTCAGGGCTCAGGAATGATGTGCATAGAGGAGTTGGAGCTAGCAGTTCATCATGAATTGATGAAAAATAATGTCAATTCCATTTTATAAAATAATGTATAGATAAGAGACTTGTTATTTCATTTTGGCAAGTTGAAACAGGAACGGTTTAGTAACTTTGTTTTATTATGAAGGAGGCAAACTCTATCCAATAAAGGAAAATGTGGATACTGGAATCCCATAGGTGTGCTGAAAGTTCAGTGCCCTGTAAATGAGTTCCTGTAGATGTCTGTGTGCAGCTCCCCTAGTGCTGTGCCTCCTAGGTCAGCCATGCCAGCACCCAGAGGATTAGTATATTGTCGGTGTAGACAGCATGTTAGCCCTGGATGTGAACAGAGTTACATAAGGTGGTTCCCAAACTGTGTTTGGTTCCAGACCTCCTAAGTGCTTTTCTTTGCTTTTAAAAAACTGTTGAGCACTTTAAGGAGTGGGATTATTGCCTGCCTCAGGCTCTCAATGAGAGGGGGGAGTCCATGGCAGCTTAATGAGGTTAGAGCTGCAGCGTAAGGGGCAGGCGTGTGGTCTGTTAGTTAAGGTACTGCATGAGATGACGACGGCTTGTGTCAGAATGTGTGGGTTCCTGTCTTGGTTCTGCTTCTCTTTCTAGTTTCCTACCAGTAGCACCCTGGGAAGTAGCAGATGAGGCCCAAGTTCATGGGTTCCTGCTACCCAATTGCGTTCCAAGCACCAGGATTTAGTTTAGATCAGATTTTGATGGACATTTGGGCAATGAACTCAGGGACGATGGATCTCTGGCTCTTCTTTAAACAAATATTTTGGTATAAAAAGCATTTCATAACAGTTAAGTATTTTATAGAACTTTATGGAAGCTGAATTTATTGTAAATTCTGGCAGAATCTTAGGAGCTGATGAAATTGGGATAGGTATGTAGCTGCTTAAGGTTTTTTCAGTGGTGGTAGAATAAAGTGGATGGGAAGCAGGTGAGAACAAGTTGTCTGCGGTCTCAGTATTAACGCATCTAGGTGTATTCTGTCCATCTGACCTATCATTGTCGGAACTATTCTGGTTACTTATAAAGCTCTTTGTCTATGCCATCTATTCTAGAAGTTTCCAGGTTAGCTCTGTCCTCCATGGGGCATCAAGAAAAGTGTTTGATTGCCGTAGAGACAAGTTAGGAAATTATGATTACCTTATGACTCAAATTTAATTTTTAGTTTAGAGGTTTCGTTTTAGAGGTTTTTTTTTTCTTTTTAAAGGAAATATTCATGTATGTAAATTTATTTTTTTAGGCCGTGAATGTGAAAGTAGAACCAGAGGCCCGAATTCATAATCTAAGGCGTCGAATGGGCTGTCCAGCTCCAAAATGTGAAGATGGTAAGAAAGTTTATCTTTGAAAAGGAACAAAGAAAAAATTAACTTGTTAAGTAAGCATTAAATCAACAATTACATGGTGGCCACAGGGTTGGACTTCGAGTCTTAGTATACTGGTGTTCTTTTGCCATGTAATTGCAAATATGTTTCAGCTCTTTGAGTTTAGCTGTGAATTTTGATTCAGTATATTTACTGCAATAAATGATTTTTGAAAGAATAGGGACTTTTGAATAGATGTGTTCATCTACTTCAGCCAAGGCAGACAGACGTGCTTTCTAAAAGGTAGGAATCCTGATTGCTTGCTTGCTTACGTGTCAGCGCATAAAGTGTCCGAGAGGTAAACTTGAGTTTGTTAGAAATCCTGCATTCTTTATCGTAGGCACAGACAAGTGACTGCAATCCCCTTTTCTTGGGATTAGGGAGTTAGTGGAAAGTTAGATACAGATCCTACCCTTGGCTCAGCTGCTGACTAGCTGCTTGACCTTGGAGATATTTCTTCATTAAAAAAAAATTATGATGTTTTTAGTTGAAAGAAAGCTCTCCCAACCACTAGCTCACTTCCTGAATACCTTCCATGACTGGAGGCTGAGTCAGGCTAAAGTTGGGAGGCTAGAGTTGGGAGCCAGACCCTTTGCACTGCTTTCCCAAGTCAGGTGGAAGCAGGACATCTAACTTGTGTATTCTGAGAGGGGCAGCTGGTGCGTTAGCTAGTGTCTTAACTACTAGACCCAAATACCTGCCTCCAGGATGACATATTCTTTTTCAACATCACAGTTATGGAAATTATTTGGCACAGTATATACAACATAATATTGACTGGTCTGGGACAGGTGTTGTTACAGTAAAGATTCAACTGCTGCTTAGGATGCCTACATCTAAGTGCTAGTTTGAGTTCCAGCTATGTGGTGCTTCCAGTCCAGCTTCTGCTAATGTTCCTGGGAAGGCAGCACCTGATGGTTCAAGTGCTTGGTATGCTAACACCCGCCTGGGAGATTGGGCTGGAGTTTCTGGCTCTTGGCTTTGGCCTGTTCTAGCTCTATTTTGGCAGCTGAAGCATTGGTTAGACTCTTTTCATACTGACTTTCAAAGAAGTACATCTTTTAAAGAAAACTGATATCCATTGTTTTAGCCAAGATGTTCAGTCTTTAACAAGAAGTTGGAGACTTCTGGAGATATAATGTGGAAGAGGTATAGAGGTGCAGTTGAATTGTCAGGCTCACATTCATGTTAAAGAGGAGCTTGATGTCCATATCTGCTGTAATGAGTCTTAAAGAGAACTGTTTTAGCTTCTTTGAAAATATGCAGTCCTGAGCAACATCTCCATGATTATCTACATCCAAAAATGTAAAGAGTATCAAAGTTGTTGTTGTATTGTATAGTCACTGGCATTGAATAACGCCTGGTGCTATTTCTCCTGATCTGCAAATCTTGAAATCACATTTGGCTTGGGAGGGAGGTGAGGAGGTAAGGGAGGAAGTGGAGCACGGCATAGTGCAGAAAGAGCTCACTTTGGATTACTTTCCACAGAGAAGGAAATGAAAAGTCACATCAAGCAAGAACCAGTGGAGAAGAAAGATTATATTGTAGAGAGCGAGAAGGAAAAGCCCAAGAGCCGATCTAAAAAAACCACCACTGCTGTGAGTTACTTGGCTTTCTCCTTTTCCCCTTTTCTTCCTCCTTTCTTTCCTTCCTTGCTTTAAACCTTCTTGCCCACAAATTTGCCTTAGATTTGGTTAATCTTTTTTTTTTTTTTAAATTTATTTATTTTTATTTAGAAAGATTTACAGAGAGGAGGAGAGACAGAAAGATCTTCCGACAAATGGTTCACTCCCCAAGTGGCCGCAATGGCCGGTGCTGAGCCAATCCAAAGCCAGGAGCCAGAAACCTCCTCCAGGTTTCCCACGCAGGTGCAGGGTCCAAAAGCTTTGGGCCCATCCTCGACTGCTTTCCCAGGCCACAGGCAGGGAGCTGGATGGGAAGCAGGTTGGCCTGGATCCTGGTGCGTTCAAGGCGAGGATCTTAACCACTATGCTAGGCCCCAGATTTGGTTAATCTTATCTGACAATCATTTGAAGTCTGTTTCTGAATGTGGTTACACCTTAGTTGATTGTGAGGGTGGTGTGTCCTCAGGGACTGTACTTGCTGTGTTTGCAGATTGGGTCCCCTGTGGCGTGAGCACATCACACGTGATTGTTCATTGTGTAGTAGCAGCTAGACCAAAAGCTAATGATGTTTACCAGCTTTCCAGTTAGTAAGGGGAAAGAAGGAAGAGCAAGGAAAGGGTGGGAAAAGGAGCTGGGAGTTGAGGTTGAGGACTGGGCAGAACTGTCTGGCTGTAGGGAGCTGTGTGTCTGTCAGAACTGCTTGGAAGCACGGCTGGAAAGCACTAGGAAGGTCCGAGTGGCTTTTCTTGTTTCCCCTCTTAAAGAATGAAAACAGACTAAACTCTGGGTAGTTGAACCCTGAGCTTGCTGTCACCGAGTCGTGTTCTTGTGGTACTTTTCTAGGGCTGCCACTTAACACTTGGACACAGGAGCTCAGCAGAGGGCTTCCTCCTGGGCCTCTGGGTAGCCAGCTGTCTTTCCTCTTGCTTGGTCATTGTCATATTGGGATAGGGTCGGTTGCAGGGTCCCAAGGCTTTGGGCCCTTTACTGCTTTCCCAGGCAGGAAACAGGGAGCTGGATGGAAAGTGGAGCACTTAGGACAGGAATCTGTGCCCATATGGAATCCAGGTGCAGACAATGCAAGGACTTTAGTCACTAGGTTTCAGCGCCAGGCCCTGTCAGTTGTTTCACTTAAGAAAAATTCTCTTTCATTAGTATTTGTAATTGTCTTGCTCTCCAGTAAAAACCCAGAAATTCTTGCTCTTGCACTGTGAGTTAGTGCCCATTAATGACTCTTGCCTGTTCCCCCTTGCCCTTTCCCTTGTACTTTAAATTGTATGAGGTCACCTTTGTAAAGACTGCATCTTAGCGGTTTTCATATAATTTTTATGTATTTTTGTGGCCACTTTATTTTGCTTCACTTAATGATATTCAGTTCATTGTTGTCACCAGTGACCAAGATTTCACCCTGTTTTATTGACTGAGTAGTATTCCCTTGTCGGCGTCAGGCTTTGGTTACCCATTTATTTTTAATTCTTAAAAGTTTTCTTATAATTTAAGATTGCAGAATTGAACTGTTTCTTTATAAATTTACTTTTTGTTTTTACCTAACATTTGTCTTTTAGAAAGCGATCTTTAAGCTCTTTTAGTAACTTTATACACCATAGCTAAAACTTGCAGTTACACTTTGGACTTGTGATGCGGAAAGTACCGTGAATATCTGTTAAACAGTGAGGTGGTTTCATTGGAAGTGCCCTGGAGGGAGAGAGTCGATCATGTTTCACAATATAAAATGAGAATATGTGCTGTGTCCACAGGTGGACCTGTATGTCTGCCTCTTGTGTGGCAGTGGCAACGAGGAGGACCGCCTTCTGCTGTGTGATGGCTGTGACGATAGCTATCATACCTTTTGCTTGATTCCACCACTCCACGACGTCCCCAAGGGGGACTGGAGGTGTCCTAAGTGTTTGGCTCAGGTAAGAGTTAAAGCCAGAGAAGGCTTGTGTTAGCGCCTTTTCTTTCCCTTTGGGTCCTTTATTTGGCAGTGGACGGTGCTGACACTGAACTCAACAAGGCTGCATAGAAAAGGGGTCTCAGACACAAGCCCCCAGTGTCGAGAAAGTTGAGTGCTGATACATTCATTATTCAGAATAGTTAAAACGCGCGCGCACATACACACACACACACCCCACCACCACCACTCTTTTTATTCATCTGAAAGGCAGAGTGTCAAAGAGAAAGTACCTGATTTACTTCCTCAATGACCTCTCGCCAGGGTTGTGCTGAACCTGTAACTCCAGACTCCTGTCACCCAACCACATGGGTACCAGGAACCCAAGTACTTGTTCCATATTCAGCTGTTTTCCTAGGTGCGTTAGCCAGGATCTTGATTGGAAGTAGATCAGCCAGGATGCAAACCCACACTCTGGTATGTGAATGCCAACATGGCAGGCATGGCTAAACGCCCTGTGTCCCTACAGTGAGTGTGTGTGCGCGCGCAGATTTTATTTATTTGAATGAATTACAGATTGAGAGAGTTCCACTATTTCACTTCCCAAATGGCTGCAATAGCTGGGGCTAGTTCAGCTTGAAGCAATGAGTCAGGTTCCCCACATGGATTCCAGTGCTCCCCTGGCGTGTGTGGGCCATCCTCCATGCCTCTCCCAGGCACGTCAGTAGTGAACTGCATCAAAATGAAGTGGCAGCTGCTCCCCTTTCCACATTGTGTAGAATGGCTGGTGAATAAAGACTCCTGAGGTTCTTAAACAAACAAACAAATGGATATGGCTGTACCTGGTACCCTTATGGGATGGGATGTGGCTACTGGGATGCTATGACACAGGCCCTGAATGCAGACGTTTCCATATGGAGCTGGGATTACTGGTATTTTTAGTAGTACACATTATCTCTGCTAAGATCTAGAGAGGATTTCCTCTCACCTCTGCAAGGATTATTCTGTATTCCATGGTGGTCAGCTAGAAGGTGATACCTGCCTTAAGGTAGGATTATGGTGCATAGGGAGCTGGACTAGTTCTGCATGGGTCCCAGGTTGCAGCTGTCTTTCGTAAAGCCTGCTCCCTGTCCAGGGGAGTTACCAGGCCCAAGGGCAGAGCAAGAGCTGTGGGGATGAAGAGAAGTGAGAGGTTAATACTTCCACTAGAACTACCTTATCCGGTGATCTAGAGTGGCTTAGATAGCTCCTGCCTGCCGCCACCTCCTTTGGGCCCCTCTAATCAGTTCCTGCTGCTCTGAGTCACGTGGCCATCTCTTTGCTGCTGCATGACATGATGATTTTATAGTTTGGGTTCTGAAAGGACATGATTCCTTTTGCTTTCAGCATCAATGGGGCCCCACATGTGTCGGGCTGTATGGAGAAGCAGCCACAGGGTACAGTGGAAGCTCCTTCTGTGCCCTCACCCCAACACAAGCCTCCTCCTGTCAGACCCTGAAGAAAGTGGAGCTTTCTGGCTGTGTCTCTGAAATTACTTAATGTTGTGGTGATTAAAATAAATGTTGGTAAAATTTTTTCATTAGACCAATCTCATTTTTTCAGTCACATTGATTTTTCTAATGCAGATATACCATTGATATTAAATAACATTTTGTTTTTTATAACTTTTCTTAATTGTCCAGTTTGGCAATTGTCCAGATATAGTTGGTGTTTTGAAGTGTCATGTAGAACACAAACTTTTCTTTTACTTGCAGGAATGCAGTAAGCCACAAGAAGCATTTGGCTTTGAACAAGCCGCCAGGGACTATACCCTGCGAACTTTTGGTGAAATGGCAGATGCCTTCAAATCTGATTACTTCAACATGCCAGTCCATGTATGTATGTGTACACCTCTTGGAGTGTGAAGGTGTTAGTAACTTTGGAGAACAGTGTGTCTGAAGACGGAGTGGAGGCCTCATTCTTGGTCGTTGTGCAGAATGAGATTTTTGTTTGGCTTCGTTGTTTTAGAATCTTGAAGTGTTCTTATTTCCGTTTAAGGATTTCTCTAGTGATGGAAAAATATCCGCATAGCGATAGGATACTAATAGAGAAAATAAGCAGCAGTCCTTTCAGTAAAATAAATGAAATTTGAGGAGAAGTTAGTATGTTTGTTATGTCTTGGCAATATTTATTTGGGAGGCAAGAGAGGAAGAGCAGAGAGAGTCCTCCATCTGATTGTTCATCCTCTGAATACCCACAGCTTCCAGTCTTTGGACAGGCAAATGCTGGGTCTCTCCCATGGGTGCAGGGGCCCGAGTGCTTGAGCTAGTTTCTGCTGCTTTTCTAAGTTCTTTAGCAGGGAACTGGGTTGGAAGTGGAGCAGCCAGGAGTCCAACAGGCACACTGGTGGGATGCTGGCACTCAGACAATGGCTTTGTTGCAACACAGTGCTGGCTCTATAAACATACTTCTTGTGTGTTGTAAAACCATAAATTAGTATTCTAAACATAAAAGATAACATGGTATTTTTAAATCTCCCTTATTATAAGCATAAGCTTGTTTCATTTGGCACTTATTATTCCATCAAGTAAGTTCACCAAAATTACATGGTTTCCTATGCTATTTCTGGATAAGCTCTAGTTTTCCTTACCCTAATGAGGTTCTACATGGGATCCTTCATGGATGTAGATTACTTGCTTGTCATCATTGCTTGAATCTCATGAGAGTCCTTATCCTCTGTCCCAACCTCGCACCTGAATCAGTTTATGGAACTTTAGCAAATACATGAGCACTTTTGATTTTCCCTAACATTGGTAATATTAACTGAAATTACTTTAAAAATATTTGCTTCTTTGGTAAGCTTAAATTTATACTTCATTTGAATTTTCAGGTTTTTTTGACTCCTATAATATTTTTTTGTGTGTCTAACTAATAAGTCTTGATGACTTACATATGACCTCTTCCAGCTATAGTTGCCAGTTTAGTTTAATTTATGACTGAGTTGTTTTTATTTGAAAGACAGGGTTAGTCGGAGACAGGAGCTGGGGATGCTTCTCAATCTCCCACATGAGTGCAGAGGCCCAAGCAGCTTTCCCAGATGTATTAGCAGGGAGCTGGATCAGATGTGGAGCAATTGGGTCCTGAATCTATGCCCATTAGGGCCCCATACCAGGCCCTTTGTTCTTAGGATGAAGACCTTGAAGGAATGGATGTTTAACTTACTTGCCACTGGATTCACATGTCAGCATTTCACTTCCTTGCCTTGCCTTCACAATTGTGGCCAGATCGGTAATAAAGGAACATGAGCCCTTCTCTTATTGTATATTTTATTTTTTAATATTTGGCTATCTGAAAGGCAGAGTGACAGAGGAACTCTTTCACCTATCTGTTTACTCTCCCAGTGCCTTCAACAGCCAGGGCTGGGCCAGGCAAAAGTCAGGAGCCAAGAACTACGTTTCAGTCTCTCTCTTAGGTGGCAGGTCCCAAGCCCTTGAGCTGTGTTTTGCTGCCTCCCAGGATAACTTAGCAGGAAACTGAATGAGAATCCAAAGAGTTGGCGCCCAACCTGGTACTCCAATATGGGATGTAAGGATTACAAGCAGGAGCTTCACTTCACTTATTTCATCATAACTGCAGCCCACAGGAATGTGAATTGTTAATTCTTACACCTTTCTATATAAATTCCAACAATTACAAAATCCCTTTTGGAAAATGGAGCCGCGTTTTAATTTCTTCATGGTCAGTTGTCAACATTAAAGACAGTAATTTTTCTTTAGAGATTATGGTGTGCTTCCTGTTATGACATTGGTCACTGTTTGTATCTGAGAACTTTCATTTTTTTCCTACTCTCCTTGTGTTCCAGATGGTTCCTACAGAGCTAGTGGAGAAAGAATTTTGGCGCCTGGTAAGCACTATTGAGGAAGATGTCACAGTGGAATATGGAGCTGATATTGCTTCAAAGGAATTTGGCAGTGGATTTCCTGTGCGAGATGGAAAAGTCAAGGTCTCACCAGAGGAAGAGGTAGGCCCTTGTTGGTGAGGGTTTCTGCATTTCAGGCTGCTGTTCAGCATCCACTTGGTCCAACGGGCAAAGCTTGATTGGGCCCTGCAAGTGGCTTTGATGTGGAGTTCATCCTGGGAATTCTGTTTGATTGGTCGAAGTCAGTCAGTGATATAGTTTTAGCAGATCTTTAGCTACCAGATTGTTAACAGCTGACTGTATGAAATGCCCTACAGTAGCATCTGAATTCCCACTGTGGCACTGCATTGTGTAATGTTGATAAGTGACTGAGGGTTCTTGGCCTCAGATTCTGGTCATTGCTTCTTCTTGTGAGGAGAACCCAAAGGTTTGCCCTTTAGTTTGTTCTAACAAACTCCTAGGAAGATTTCTATTTGTGTTCTGCTAGGAACTTAGATTTGTTGAAAATCAAAGTTGCACTGAGAAAAGTGCGTAGTAGTGTGTGCACAACTTGAAGAACTTTCCTCAAACTTGGTGTCCCCAGGGAAACGGCACCAGCACAGGGCAGAAACTGTTCTCAGCAGTTCGCCTGCTTCCCCCCTGCCCTCTCCCCTGCCTTCCCCTCCCTCAGGACAGACACTGCCCCCTCGGGATAGCTGTGTTCCTGCTTCTCAGTACCATGGTGAGTGTGTGTGTTAGCGAACTTGTGTTAAGAGGACCTCAGATTAGTTTTTATCCTGTCCAGAAGCGAGAGCAGATACAAAAGCAGTGACTGAATTTGAGCACCCCAAAAGTTAGCCTGGCGGCTTCCCACCTCCCTGCCCACGTTAGTTGAAAGGACACTGGTTTTAGCTGACATGCTGGGCCAATTTTAAGTGATGCAGCTGAACCTCATTCTTTATTTTTAGGAATACCTGGATAGTGGATGGAATTTGAACAACATGCCCGTAATGGAGCAGTCCGTCCTTGCCCACATAACTGCCGACATATGTGGCATGAAGCTGCCCTGGTTGTATGTTGGAATGTGCTTTTCATCCTTTTGTTGGCATATTGAGGACCACTGGAGCTACTCAATCAATTATCTTCACTGGTAAGATTTTCCAAATAGAACCTGGGAATGATAGGCACGGGGAGTAGGAGAGCTTTGTGCCTTGGGTCTATCTTGACTGTGAAGAATAATCTATTTAAAAAAAAAAAAAGATTTTATTATTATTATTATTATTATTATTATTTAGAAAGGACTTTAGCTGGTAGGTTACCATGCCAGGCCCCCAAAAGTACTTCTAAAATAGTGTTTTTGTTACTGTTAGGTATCAGAAGAAGTTTTAAGAAGGTGGTGATTTAAGATTCCCAGCCCTTGGTTGTTGTGGCTGTTGGAGGCATTTGGGGAATGAATCAAATCTCTAGGGCCCCACATGGTGGTCTAGTGGCTAAAACCCTCACCTTGCACGTGCTACAATCCCTCTAGACACCAGTTCTAATCCTGGCTGCTCTGAGTCCCATCCAGCTCCCTGATTTTGTGTCCTGGGAAAGCATTAGAGGACAGCCTAAAGCCTTGCGGCCCTGCGCCCATGTAGGAGACTCAGGAAAAGCTCCTGGTTCCTGGTTCAGCTCCAGCTGTTGTGGCCACTTGGGGAGTGAATCAGCAGATGGAAGATTTTCCTCTCTGTCTCTTTGTATATCTCACATTCTAATAATAATAATTTAAAAAAGAAAAAGAAGCATGGGTGTACTCTAAGAAAAGCAAAACCTCTTGCAGTGGTGTATGGATACCGTAGTATATAGATGCTTTCAGGTGCTTGGGTCTGCTTGCCGAGCTTTGTGGTTTTGCGTTCTGGCCTCACTGTGCACTGCCTTCCTTCCTGGACACATGGTGGGGACCTGAGGGGGCAGATACTTGGACTCCATCCATTGCTTAAGCTTTTCAGACACAGCTACTTCTTCATCTACACCCCCCTGCTTATTTTTCCTCCTCTGTTTTTCTTGCTCCTAAGTACAGAAATTTATTTGAAGATGTGTAACATAACGAAGTCCTCACACAAGGAATTTGAGGATATACCACAAGAAAGGGGGAATTGACATAATATATGTGCATATGAGCTTGGTTGGGCTTCCCTCGGCAATTGTTCCCAGCTGTAAAATGAAGATTATATTTACCATACCTCACAGGGATGCAAGGATGTTACAGATTAATTGGTTGACAATTTACAGTGCTTTGAATAATAAGAACCCTTTAGAAATGCTAATTGTCTTATTAGAGTGTGGTTTTACCTCATCTGTCAGAAGAAGCAAAGGAAAAGTAAGTCAGTTACCGTGAGAAAGTGTGGTAACCGCCTAGCCTTCGGCTGTCCTGATACCTTACATTCCTACACATTTGGGATGTTTGCATCTGGTTAAGGGACAGCCAACATGGGAGTAGGGAGCAGGGCCGCAGATGGAAAGCCTCATGTTGAAGCTTTGTATTTGAAGGGGGAAATGCATTGCATATGTTCACATTGCATTTCTAATCATGCTTCTTTAGACTGAACATTCTTTCTGTAGCTTAGTCTCACAAAGCAGGATCTATACAATTAAGAACTGGATAGCCAGGTTTTTTTTGTATTGATGGTGCGAGTTGATTTTTTTCCATAATTTATTTCCAGGGGCGAGCCAAAAACCTGGTATGGAGTCCCAGGCTATGCTGCTGAGCAGCTGGAAAACGTGATGAAGAAACTGGCTCCAGAGCTCTTCGTGTCCCAGCCCGACCTCCTGCATCAGCTTGTGACCATCATGAACCCCAACACCCTGATGACACACGAAGTTCCTGTATGTTCTGGGTAACCCCGTGCCATGCCACTCCTGCTTCATTTTGTTAATTCACTAGGACACTGAATTTGGTTATGGCTTTCTGTAGTGCAATTTGATAATAGAAACAGCTGTTTAGTGTACAAATCTGGTACTGTATAGCATTAGCTCAGTGGGACTCCAGCACCATAAAATGGTAATTAGATTGTTGGAGCTATTACCTAGATTAATAGTCTTACTAACTAGCTAGTTTTCCTGTGCAAATAAGAATAATTTTGGCTTTTCACTTGTTTCAGTGCATAATTTAGGGCATCTTAGCATATTTGCATGCTGTAAAAAAAAATTCCACTAAATTTTTCAAAATTTCATTTATTCGAATGGTAGAGACAAAATGTTTTCTTCAATTGGTTCATTCCACAAATGGCTGTATCAGCGGGGGCTGGGTCAGGCTGAAGTCAGGACCTGGAACTCACTTGGGTCACTCACTTTGGTCGCAAAAGCCCAAGCACTGTGTCCATCGTCTGCTGCTTTCCCAGGAGCATTAGCTCCGAGCTGGATCAGAAGTAGAGCAGCTGAGAACCAAACCAGCATTTGCATGGGATGCCAGTGTAACAGGCAGCTTTATTCCACTAAACAATGATGCTGATTCCTCCACTCATGCTTTCTAAACTACAAGTTTGTTTACAATTTCAACCCTTCAATTAAGAAAACAAAAACTTTATAGAAAATATTAGTTGTAAATTGCTTTAATTCTGGTACAGGTATAAACTCATAATATTGGCATCCTTGTTATTGAATACACATGGTTTTAATTTTGAGTAGTGAACTGAAGTGAGATACAGAGTAGATCTTAATTATACCTTTATTCCTATTTCTTTTTCAATAAAAGATTGATTTGGGAGGAAGAAAGACAAAGATATCTTCTATCTGCTAGTCTGTTGCCTAGATTTCCTCCTATTGAGTGGCAAGAACCCAAATCCTTGGACCATCATCTGCCATCTCATAGTGAGTTAGTGGATCAGAAATGTGGGGCAAGTCGGGATTAAAACCAGGCATTCCGATATGGAATGTTTCTTGCGTTCTTACACTTAGATTTCTGGGTTAGCAGTCTAGATTGAAAGGTGCCCATGTGGTGTCCTCAGACGTTGCTGTCCGAGGTGAGGGGACATATCGGCCTTTGGAGGGTTGCTCTCAATAGCATGGAGAGGCAGATGGAGAACTGTGAAACACTCAAGTCGAAATGATGCCTTTGTAGTATTAGTGAGTTCTTTTATTTTTTAAAGGTTTATTTATTTTTATTTGAACGGATGGAGATAAATATAGAGATATATATAGAAAAGGAGAAGTTCACTTGCAAGTGATTGGAGCTAAGCCATTTGATGCCAGGAGCTAGAAGGTTCTTCCGGGTCTCTTACATGAGTACAGGGACCCAAGCACTTTGGCAATTCTGTACTGCTTTCACAGGCACAAGCAGTGACCTGGATCAAAAGGGGAGCAGCTGGGACTTGAACTAGCACCGATATTAGATGTGCGCACCACAGACCAAGAAGTTAACTCACTGTGCCTGAACCTCTGCTCCATAAACAGTTTGCTTTCCCCCAAACTAAAATTTATGCTTTGGCATTTACAGGCTAGTCAGTAGGAATAAATTATGCATGGGTGTAGCTTAGAAGTTATGATCTGAAGTACCAGACAATCTCTATCTCATCGAGATCCTCATTGATTTTTTTCCCTGCTATCCTCTTGCTAATTGATCTTCCCTTCTACCAAGGAACTTGATCTAGATGAAACCTGTTCCTTATTTTTCAACATTTGAGCAAACTTATTAGAAGTAGATTCTGCATCAACAGAGCTGAGTGAATGACCTCCTGGTGTACCTGGGAACACAGTGTGTGCAGATACTGGAAGGGGGTGTGGTCAAGCCAGCTGACCAATGGAGTTAATTGTTAAATCTGAAAAGTTTCATAGATGATATAGCATCTCTTTGAAGAGTGGGAGCTTTGCTAGTTTACAAGTAGTCTAGCAGTGAGTTGGATGGAGGAAGCCCAATCCCCGGTAGGAGGGTTTGGGCTCCTTGGAAGTTAGTGGTTTTTACACTACAAATCCTGGAGATGCTATTCCCACACAGACGCCTTTGCCTTATCCCTGGTCTTCTTGGTTCTGTGGATTTGGATGAGGCTTGAGAATTTGCCCTTACAACAACTTCCCAGGTGGTCTTAAGCCTGCTGTTTCAGGAGCCATGCTTTGGTAAGCCCTGGGTGCCTAGGAAGAGGTATTTGAGATGGTGTAACAGACTGTGCAGCATAAAGCGTTGTGTACTTAAAACAATTGATGTGCTTTTTGGGGGTGCAGTCATTGGTTGGAATAAGGAATAATTCCAACCAGGAGTCTTGAAATAAAGTGGAATTCCTTTCATTGGTGTCTGGTGATCCTGTTTAGAGGTATTGCATCATGGTAAGTGTTGGAGGAAGCCTGCTTGCTATTGGGATTATCAGGCACAATATGGTATGAGGAGCTACTGTGTGGCTGGAATTACCCTCGTGGAAGCGGCTGTCTGGAAAATCCTCTGATACCAAGTCCCCATTGACTTCAATGAGAACACCACTATCTGGGAACCTCAAAAATGGCCAATTTCTGTCTCTCCAGGTTTATCGGACTAATCAGTGTGCCGGCGAGTTTGTGATCACTTTTCCAAGAGCCTACCACAGTGGTTTTAACCAGGGCTTTAATTTTGCGGAGGCTGTTAACTTCTGCACTGTTGACTGGGTATGTAATTACCATGCAGTGAAATTTTGCAGATTTATTGTTTATTGCTTTGTTTGTGGACGTAGTGCAGAACGCTTTCAGAACACTCACTGTCTAGTTGCTTCGCCCCATCCCTACTTCACTGGCCAACGTGCTGCGAGATCGCCACTGGCCCGAGAATCTACATCATGGGTGTACTAAGAATACTGCTTCTTTCTGCCAACTTTGTCCGTGTTGGTGAAACTTTAATGAAGGGTGCTGTTGATGTGCCTGCTTGTTTGCAAAGTGGTAAATAGATCCCATTTATTTAAAGACTCTGCTTTGTATGGCACCAGTTTAAATGATTAACAGTGCCACAGTTTGATGACATATTTCACTTAGTTTAAAAAGCTGGGATTTATGTTGATATCTTCATTTGCTTAAAATATCCAGATGAAGTGTGTGTAATATTAAGATGAAACCTTTGTTACAATGCTTTTCACAGTTTCAAAAGATACGTAAATGTGTATTTCCAAACATATGCCACATGCTTGTGGACATAAATAAATTGGCTTTGTTTAAAGCTGTTTTTATAACTTAAGGGAGCTAATCGGCCCTTGAGCTGTAACATAAATATGGCCTAGACTTTGCTGGAACTGTGACGTTAGGGTTGATAAATGAGTTTGGCATAGAGTGTTTGTAGTGTGACAGTATAACCCAGAGTTGCACGTGGAGAGCAGATGAAGCTGATGTTTCTTGTGTGTTCTGACCCAGCTGCCCTTAGGCCGGCAGTGTGTGGAGCATTACCGCCTGCTTCACCGGTACTGTGTGTTTTCTCATGACGAAATGATTTGCAAGATGGCTTCCAAAGCTGATGTACTAGATGTTGTGGTAGCTTCAACTGTTCAGAAGGATATGGCCATCATGATTGAGGATGAGAAAGCTTTAAGAGAAACTGTTCGTAAATTGGTAAGTTTTCTAGAAGTCGAATTGCATATCATTGTATATTAATAAACTTGTTTATGCATTTTAGTATCATATCTTCCTAATCTTGTCATTTCCTTTATGGTCCTTCTAATGTCATTAAAGTATAGCATTTGCATTGTCTAATTTTTACCTGTTTGCCAAGTGAATATGTTTTTGTTGAATTTTCCAAAGATTTTGACTTTTGGGGGGTAATATTCGTTTATTTGAAAGCCAGAGTTGCTATATATAGTAAAACTCAACATGTTTAGCAGGTATAAGAATCACACAGTCAGATACAGAATACAGAACAGCAGCAGAGACTTCAGGTTTTTTTCTTTTTTAAAGATTTGTTTATTTTCATTGCAAAGTCAGATATACAGAGAGGAGGAGAGACAGAGATGTAGATTTTCTGTTCGTTGATGGTTCACTCCCCAAGCGGCCGCAACAGCTGGAGCTAAACCAACCTGAAGCCAGGGGCCTGGAATCTCTTCATGGTGTTGCTTGCGGGTGCAGGGTCTCAAGGCTTTGGGCCGTCCTCAACTATTTTCCCAGGCCACAAGCAGCGAGCTAAATGGAAAGCGGTACCCATATGAGATCCTGGGACATGCAAGGCAAGAACTTTAGCTGCTACGCTATTGTGCCAGGCCCCCTAGAACTTATTTGAAGTGTTCTTGGGTGAGCATCTTTAGGTGGAAATAGAACTTTCTGCGGCCCACCTTGTCCTCCTGTCTCACAGATGGCCCAGAGTCTAACTTTTCTTCATGTAATTAAAAGTTACAGGTTTACGCTGGGTCGTTCATTCCAAGATAAAATCCCTAGTTAGATCTTCAACTAAGATTAAACCTTGATCTCTAGCTATTTCCATTCCATCAAGTCCTTTGTATTGATTGGTGGCAGATTAAAACCAAAGTTCATCCATTTGTGTTTTCCTAACTAGTACAGCTGTCTCATGTGGCATAGTTAAAGACCATGCTTCATAGCAGATTTTTGGGGGACCAGCATTCTTAAGGCTGGGCTGGAATTGGGTTCCACCTAAGGAGAAGAGGTCATAGCAGTTTGATTTTTGAAAGGCAAAGATGTACATCCTGGAGGTGTTCAGTAGTGCAAACTATAGTTGAAACTCGCTGATTCGGTGCATCAGTTTGCTCGTAGGAAATCCTTCGTCATAACTTAATACTCTCCTATCCAGATAATATTCGCTGTTCAGGTAACTGGGTGAAGTAGGGTGAGACCCTACTCTGCCAACACCTGCACATTAGTCTTCTCCACTTGCCCCGTTTTCCTCCTCCCTGTTTTTATTGTTGTTGAGCCATTTCTCTGGCAGTGTCCCTCAGCCCTCCATTTCTTACATGCATATGCATTTCCCTTACTGTGATCTGTACCCAAGACATGGAGCTGCTGATGGGGAGTAGAAGAGCTGACAGCTGATCTCATTCCCTTTCCTGTCCTCTTGATAGCTAGTTGAACCCGAAGCCAGCCCGCGGGTTGTATAAAAAGGGATTTTCCCTACTCACGGAAAGTGCGTTAACTTGCTCCTGTTGACTTAGTTAAGTGTTGCTTTGTGTTTCTCACTTTTTACTCATACATCCCTACTTTGTCTTGGGGCAAGGGTATTCTACTCTTTCTAAAGTCTGAAAAGTGAACTTTATTCTAGGGAGTGATCGATTCAGAAAGAATGGATTTTGAGCTGTTGCCAGATGATGAGCGTCAGTGTGTAAAATGTAAAACCACGTGCTTCATGTCTGCCCTCTCCTGCTCGTGTAAGCCGGGCCTGCTGGTGTGCCTGCACCATGTGAAAGAATTGTGTTCCTGTCCTCCTTATAAATATAAATTGCGGTGAGTAGGAAGTGTGGCTTTTTTCTTTCCCCTCGGTAATGCTGAGGTTTCAGTGACATAGCTGTTGTTGGGCTGGAGGAAGAGGTGGGACCCATCTGTCTCAGAGCTAAGCCTGCATTCTCTTCCAGATACAGATACACTCTGGATGACCTCTACCCTATGATGAACGCATTGAAGCTTCGAGCAGAATCTTACAATGAGTGGGCCTTAACTGTGAATGAAGCTTTGGAGGCAAAAATCAACAAGAAGAAAAGTATGTGGCACCGCAAGTGTGATGTGGTGTTCAGTAGTTGATTTTGATTGGGATCTAGCCAACTTAAAATCAACCTTTCTATCCATCTGGGTGTTTCAGGGCAGGACCAGAGAAAGTTTTAAAACCAAGATCGGAAGAAGGAGGTGTCTCTACATTGGAGTGGAATATGCAGGGGGCTTTGTTTAACCAAACCGTGTGCTTAGGAAACACTGACCTGTTTTAAAATGTTTCCAGTTCACACACAACTTTAGAAAACCTTCTTAATCAAATCAGATCAAAACAAAATAAAACTGCATCCAATGAGAAAGACAGCATGAGCTGCTGGTTTATCACTTGTGAGGGCACTACTTTTTTTCCATCTCTCTTACCTGCCTTGTTGAGGGGAGCAGAGCAGTACACTATCTCTGAGTACACTGGGTCCTTGCAGAATAGCGCGTGACAGGAAGAGGCAGGCTGCCACCATGGCAAGATCTACAGTTGCACTGCTGTGACTTATCGGTCACTTTCCATATTTTACCTATCTTTTTACACATGGTATCTTAACATTTCTGCGATGAAGCACAGCTGCGTCCAAGCAGCCTCAGGAAAGAAAATGAGCACATTCGTGATTTAGAGCGGAGAAAAGCCTTTAAGTGTTGTGTGAGTATTGATAATGTGCTGGGCTCAGAGAGGTGACTCACTGCTTTGTTCATAGGCCTCGTCAGCTTTAAAGCTTTAATCGAGGAATCTGAGATGAAGAAGTTCCCTGACAATGACCTTCTGCGCCACCTGCGCCTGGTGACACAGGATGCAGAGAAGTGTGCCTCTGTTGCGCAGCAACTGTTGAATGGCAAGAGGCAGACAAGGTATGTTGCTGGCACTGTCCAAATAGGCTCTGGCAGAGCCTCTGGCAACATCCCGCCATTGTTTGGCCCTGGAAATCTGTGAGGGGCACACATGCAGATCCTCAGTGGACTGATCCAGCCTTCCTTTTTTGTAGATACAGATCTGGTGGAGGGAAGTCCCAAAATCAGCTGACGGTGAATGAACTCCGCCAGTTTGTGACGCAGCTCTATGCTCTTCCATGTGTCCTCAACCAGACCCCGTTACTGAAGGTAACCAGAAGGGTGTGTGGGAGAACTTGGAGATCCTGGGCTTGTAAATGACCTTGATTGACATTATTGAAGGTACTTCTTCGGTGTTAATGTACACATTTAATAACTAATGTTTTTAACACCTTGAGGGATGTATGTACAAAGCTCACAAGAGAAAGCTGGAAATTTTTAGTTTGAAAATGTGAACCAAGGACTAGGGCCACATATAGTAAGCAGAGTTTCTGTCTGTGGCACCAGCATCCCATATGGGCATCTGTTTGTGTCCTTGCTGCTCCGCTTCCGATCCAGCTTCCTGCTGTGGCCTGGAAAAGCAGTGGAGGATGGCTCAAGTCCTTTGGGTTTCCGCACCAGTTTTGAAGACCTGGTGGAAGCTTCTGGCTTCTAATTGGCTCAGTTCTGGCCATTGCAGCTATATGGAGAGTGAATCAGCAGATGTAGGATCTTCCTATCTCTTCTCTCCTTTCCTTATTTAACTGTCTTCCAAAGAAAAATGAAATTGTGACCAGCCAGTCTTGGAGCTGTGATGTCTGTGAAAGTGTGTTGTTTTAGCTATGAATTACCACTATGTGACCTGATGGACTCGCTATCACTGAAATGAAGTGGGACAGTGGAGTAGCACATGTAATGTGACCTTACGTGTGGACTATGTGTGAAAGAAACCAATGCCTGGAATGGTTGTTTTAACACAGGATCTCTTAAACCGTGTGGAGAACTTTCAGCAGCACAGCCAGAAGCTGCTCTCAATGGAAATGCCCAGTGCCGCTGAGCTGCAAGATCTGCTAGACGTCAGCTTTGAATTTGATGTGGAGCTTCCACAGCTAGCTGAGATGCGGACGCGGTTGGAACAGGCCCGTTGGCTCGAAGAGGTGCAGCAAGCTTGCCTAGACCCCAGCTCCCTTACGTTAGACGATATGAGACGGCTCATAGACCTGGGGGTGGGGCTGGCCCCCTACTCTGCAGTAGAAAAAGCGATGGCACGGCTGCAGGAACTGCTCACGGTGTCTGAGCACTGGGATGACAAAGCCAAGAGTCTCCTTAAGGCCAGGTAAATCGGGTCAGGCGTGTGGCCCCTGAGGCAGGGTGGCTGGGTGACCCTGTCTGCGAGCCTAGAGCACTGTGGCTGGCGTGTGGCAGGGGTTCTGTCGCTGCCACCTCCTGTGAGCATTGCAGTGGAAGCAGCAGAGATGTTTGGGACAGCTTTGGACTTCGGTTAAGGATTATTTTTGTTTGCCTAATTATAAAATGATGCAAATGCACTTCAGTGAAATTTTTCCATGCTCTGATAATACTATCTTTAAGGGATGAAACCATGTTTTTGGCAGGCAGGGCTTTTTTAAACTATAAGTTACTAAGAAGCCCGAGACATCTGAAAGCCTGCAGCACTCTGGAAAATGAAGACAGTGTGAGTTGTTTTTCTTGAACTAAGACTGCTTGCAAAAGTCGGGGACAGACACCTCCACTATATCTGGCAGATACACTGGATGCAGGCTGTCAGAGGGACAGGGGACTGCCACTGCCCTTGCCCTTGGTTCTGCGCTGCTCCTGGTCGCAGTTTACCACAGGAAGACACTTGAGTTTTGGGCATTGTTCTCTGGTCCATGGATGGAGGCTGCAAAACTTCCAGTGCTTTGCTTTGAATACATGAATGACCTCAAGCAAGTTTAACAGAGAGGAAGTTCATCGGTATTTTAGTTACCTTCTCAACATGGAAGCTTGTGGCTATATCCTCAGAAAATTAGGAGCAGGTAGAATTTAAATGCCTCACTGAGTTACTTACGTTTTATGTTTTTGAGAGCAAATATTCTGCAATATTGGTATAGTGAACATAAAATTAGCATTTACCAGGCTCCGAATACCCACTAGTTCCTGACTGATTTTCTCCCAACAGTGTAACACTTGCAACTGCATAGATCTCATGTGAAGATTTTTTTTTTAATTTGTGAAAAAGGAATCTCTACCTGCTGGTTTGCTGCTGAACTGCTAACAGCGATCAGACTGGGACAGGCATAAAGGCAGGAGTCAGGAACTCAGTCCAGGTCTCCTGCATGGGTGCCAGGGTCCAACTACTTTAGCTGTCACCTGCTGCTTTGAGGATGTGCATTAGTAGCAACCTGGGAATCCAATGCAGAGCCAAGACTTGACCCTGGGCATGTGGGCATCCCAAGGAGTACCCTGCTCTCTGTGTGCAATGGTCACCCTTGATGTGCCTAAATATTACTCAGCCAGTTGGTCCTACGTAATCTGATAACTAGTAGCTAGTCAGATGCATTTGCAAGACTGGACTCCTTTGAAATTATTTTTCCTTTTTGTTAACTGTTAGTAAGACATAGCAGCTACAAAATTGTAAGAAATGCCTCTGTTTCCTTTTGGTAGACCCCGGCACTCCCTGAGCAGTCTTGCCACCGCCGTCAAGGAGATGGAGGAGATCCCTGCATACCTGCCCAACGGCGCAGCTCTGAAGGACTCAGTGCAGAGAGCCAGAGACTGGCTTCAGGATGTGGAGGCCCTACAGGTTGGTTCCTCCTTAGTGCATTAAGAAAGGGCCGTAATTTACAAATCTGTGGAGGCTACATTAGATCAGCTGTGTCTCATGGCATAGATAATGGTGTATATCCAGTTTTCGGATGTAGTTGACCAGCTAGTGTCTTGACCGGGTTGTGCAAAACTGTTTGCTGCTTTGACAGTTCAGTTGCATGTTTCTGGTACCTGGAAACCTTTGAGAACTTGGCTGCTATTTGAGGGAAAGGAGCTCACAATGAAGGTGTGAGATAAGTTGTGACTTCTTCAGCCTGGGATGAAGAGGGGCCTCATGGTGGCCTGCCAGCAACATTGGTGTTGAAGCCAACCCAGTAGAAGATTCCATGAGCCTGCTTATTTATTTGACTTTATGGCCCAACTACGTCAAAGCCCTATTTCTACTGAATGGTGACTCAACCAGAGATAACCCTCCCAACCCTATAAGATTAAGGAAACTTAGCGAGTTTCAGAGAAATCGGCCATAGTAACCATCACCGCATATTTGCAGCCACTTGCTAGATGGTACATTTGCTGACCTGTGTATAAGGTCAAAGGGAGTTGAATGAGATGTGGGAAGAATGCCTCAATTGTTCAACCTGCTTTAGCTGGATGGCTTCATTGGGAATGTGGCTGGAGGGGCAGCAAGAGGTATCTTCCTCATGAACTCCTTGATTGTTGTAAACCAATAGTTCTTGGAGACCTGGAGAGAAAGAGCATCTTACGTTCTGTTTTTGTTGAGGTCTTCATATTCTAGGGAAAAATTCCTTTATGGTTTTGTAATATTTAAAGTTTAAGTGGTACTTTCTTGCCATTTGCTGATCAGACATACTGAATAGGACACTTCTGGTCAAAGGTCTGCAACAGGGCATCTGGGCATCTGTTTGAGTTAAAAAGAAGAGAGCCTTGTTTGGGTAGGTCCCATGGTGAAAGGTGGCCCAGGCAAGGCAGAAAGGAAAAGAATGTATCGCTGTGCAGGGAAGCACTTGATGGAGTTAGATCAGGTGCAGGCTGTCCTGAGGAAGGTCCTGAAGTGAAGGCTTCAGTCATAACTCTGAGCCCTTCTCTCTGAGACATGTGAGCAGCTGGAAGGTGTGGTTGTTGCCATGAGAGGCCCATGTGTGCTTGAGAAAGCCAGGGCATGCTTCTGGGTGGCTTTGTTCCATCTCTGCTTCATACACTGCGTGCTGGCTTGGCAGCGGTGATTGCATGGGTGGAAGGCAGGCTTTACTTAATTTCTGGGGGAAAAAAAAGCCTCACCTTTCCTAACATGGTGTATTTGGTAGCAGTTAACAGACGTGACTGGCATCAAGGAACCACATAGTTCAAATATCCAGTATGATAGAAAGTTACTCCGTATTTTCCAGTTGAAGGTCATAGCAATAGCGCATAACTTATGAGGTGCTATCATTTTTTTTTAAAAGATTTATTTTTATTATTTTTTACTGGAAAGGCAGATATACAGAGAGGAGAGACAGAGAGGAAGATCTTCCGTCCGATGATTCACTCCCCAAGTGAGCGCAACGGCCGATGCTGTGCCGATCCGAAGCCAGGAGCCTCTTCCGGGTCTCCCACGTGGGTGCAGGTTCCCAAAGCCCTGGGCCGTCCTCGACTGCCCTCCCGGGCCACAGGCAGGGAGCTGGAAGGGAAGTGGGGCTGCTGGGATAGAACCGGCGCCCATATGGGATCCCGGGCGTGCAAGGCGAGGACCTCAACCACTGCGCCACAGCGCCGGGCCCGAGGTGCTATCATTTTTAAAATTGATATTTGAAAGCTTATTTTCAGGGTTTTGTGCTGTAGCGCAGTGGACTAAGCTGACATTTGCCCTGTTATCCTATCAAAGGGCTGTTGCAATGGCTGTTCCACAAGGAAGTGCTGGCCCCTTCCTTGCAGTGCAGTACTTGGGTTCCTGCCATTCACATGACAGAGCTAGATTGCATTTCTGTCTAGCTCCTTTTTTGCCAGGTCCAGCCCCAGCTGTTGCTGTAATTTGGGGAATGAACCAACAAATAGAAAAGTTTTTTTTTCTCTGAGCTTCTCAGGGTCTCCCACATGGCCGCAGAGGCCGTGTCACCTGGGTCAGCTTCTGCTGCTTTCCCAGCTGCTTTAGCAAGGAGCTGAATCAGAAGTTGGCAGTGGGATTCAATCTGATATTCTTATGGATGCAGACACGGTAGCAGCTTAACCTGCCACACTGCGACACCAGCCCCTAATAAGTAACTGTTTTAAGTCATTTTCATTTTTTTTGAAAGGCAGAGAGCCAGGTAAATATACGAGACAGCTTCCATTTGTTGGTTTCTTCTAAATGCACTAACAGCCAACGGCTGTGCTAGACTGAAATGAGGAGCACGGTTCAACCTCGGCCTCCCCTGTGGGTGACAGGAACACGAGTACTTGGCCTGCTGCCTCCCAGGGTGCATGTCTGCAAACTTGGGTGTTTCAGTATGGGACGCAGGAGCCCGTTGGGGTCTTATCCACCATATCAAACATCTGGCCCTTTATTTTTTCTAAGTGCCCATCAGAACAAGAGGCCATGTATGCTTAGTTTACCCCATTCTCTTCTCGTTGTCCTAGAAGTGCCCTTGCTGGACTTCCTATGTGGCACGCTTGGCCCCTTCCTTTTTGTGTCGTCGTCAGGGACAGCAGTGCTTGATGTGGTGTGCCTCAGAACAAGCCTGTGCTTGTGGTGGGTTGTGTCAGGAGAGATCCGGCAGTCCATAGCAACAGCCCCCACGCATTTCTTCTCCCCCGCTAACACTCTAGCCAGAGCTCCTCCCAAGTGTGGGCCTGGAGCCGTGGCAGAAACAAGATGGGCGCCTTGTTAGACAGGCGGCTTCCCCGGGTGTTCCCTCACCGTGCAGTCACGATATCTGGGAAAAGGACTCAGAAAGCTGTCTAATTCAAAAGCTTTCCATGTGACAGGTGGGAATTCAGGTACACAATTTTCAAATGCATACTTTATACTGGGTTAGTTGAACTCATCATTGGTGAGTGAGTTAGAATGTGATAGTGTTTTTTTATTGTGTTTCTGTAAGCCAGTATGATCGCCTAAATCTGTTGCAAATGTTTATTTCTGTAGATTTTTGTTTTTTCTATTTATAGGGACCACTGTGCTCGGTGAACCAGAGGGATGATGGTGTGTGCCATGTCCACACTTGTGCCCTAGCACTGAGCACACACTTGACCCTCTGGTAGTAAGTGATCAAATAAAGTGTCAATTGCTCCATCCTGGATTTATGAGCCAGTGTACGTAGTTGGAAGCTGTGAGCTTAGCATGTTGAGATCATGAAGTAAGCTAAACTGTGGCCTTTTCACTTTGTGTGGTCGTATTGTCATTCTAAATGACTGTGCTGATTCTGGACTTCCTAGGCTGGAGGACGTGTGCCTGTGCTGGACACACTCATAGAACTCGTTACGAGAGGACGCTCGATCCCAGTGCACCTGAATTCTCTGCCGAGACTGGAATCCCTGGTGGCTGAGGTTCAAGCGTGGAAAGAATGTGCTGCCAACACATTCTTGACTGAGAATTCGCCATATTCTCTGCTGGAGGTAAGTGCAGGACGGTAGATCTCCCCGCCTGGTGAAGCACGGAGTCTGTCCCCCATGCAGCCCACATCATGGTTGATCTCTGACAGACCTGGGAGATTGTCCTGACCTGCTCTTAAGGCACCTTTCCGTGTTTGCAGTGTGCTTTCCATGGGGGATCCTTTCTCTGGGGTTGAAGTCCTAAGTGTGACCGCACCTCACCAGCTGTCAGCCAGCCTGGCCAGTGATCGCCTCTGCATTTTGCAACGTGCATTGGCTGTACTTCTCTACATCTCCTGTAGGCTGACCTGCAGACCACCTTGTGACTAGAATCACTTGGTATAGATCATGCTTTTAATGTGGTTTAGTTGAAAGTGGAATAAAAGTCATTTGTGTCCCTGCCTGCCGCAATCTTTTCCCATTCTTGTGTAGAAAGTCTCCTGGTCCCAGGGCTGCTTGTCAATGAACATGTCCAGTTACTCTCTCCCTTCGTGCACCAAGGGGCTTATCTTAGGAATTTGTAATGCTCTGTTATTTTACTATGGATCTGCTTTGTCCCACCTAGGTGCTGTGTCCTCGATGTGATGTTGGCCTTGGGGGATTGAAAAGGAAGCAGAGGAAATTGAAGGAGCCCTTGCTGAGTGGGAAAAAGAAAGGTACCAAGTCTGAGAGCCTGAGCGAGCTGGAGAGAGCTCTGTCGGAGAGCAAGGAGACGAGCTCGGCGGTACGTGATGGGGATGCTAGACCCTTGCTGCCGTAGGAGCACTGGCTAGGCAAGCTGAGGGGCTGGAGAGCACTTCCCAGCAGCTTTGCGGGGTGGGTGCTACAGACTGCAAGTCCTGCCAGGGCTGACACAGCAGGGTAGAACGGACAGGGATGTCACCCTGGAAATGCACAGTTAGAAATATATGGCATGTGCTAGTCACTTACTTGAGTTTGACTTGTAATTTAAAACACTGCTGATTCAAAGAGAGTTTTTAAATGTATAATGATAAAAGAAGTGGAAATGTTTGGGATAAAAGGAGAACTTGTGATTTGGACTTTAAAAATTTATATTCTTTAAGAATGTCTTGGTTCTTTCCATTTCCAACCTTTGGGAAGGTCATGTTGTCACCTAAGGCGTGGACGTTAATCTGTACTTTGTGTTCCTCTACAAAGAAAGTGGTTCTAAATATGCTACAGATTTGTTACCTGTTTTAATTTTAGTTTTTGTTTTTCCTCTAATCCCTTGTTCTAGCATTTTGATTGTGGTGAATCATGATGAGTTTGCGCGTAGCCAGGTGTAGCATTAGGAACAATTTACTTGCGACAACATGCTAAAGATTCAGGAATAGATTTGGGCTGATAGCCTATGACTTTTGTTCCTAGATTTTTATTTTTCTCTGTCTCCTTTAAAGATGTATTTGTTTGAAAGACAGAGCAAGAGAAGGGGAGAGATGAGATTTTTTTTAAAGATTTATTTATTTATTGGAAAGTCAGAGATACAGAGAGGAGGAGATAAAGAGAGGAAGATCTTCTGTCCGATGATTCACTTCCCCAAGTGAGCGCAATGGATGATCTAAGCCAGGATCCAGGAACTTCTTCTGGGTATCCTACACGGGTGCAGGGTCCCAAGACTTTGGGCCGTCCTCAACTGCTTTCCGAGGCCACAAGCAGGGAGCTGGATGGGAAGTGGAGCTGCCGGGATTAGAAGCGGCGCCCATATGGGATCCCAGTGTTCAAGGCGAGGACTTTAGCTGCTAGGCTACGCTGCCGGGCCCAAGAGATGAGATTTTGTGTCTGATAGTTCATTCCCAAATGGCCACCATACGGGAGCTAGACTAGGTCAGAGGCACAAGCCAGGACTTCATTCAGGTCTCCCAGATGGGTAGCATGGACCCCCTTTATGGGCCATCTTCTGCTGCCTCCCCAGGTGCATTAACAGGATGCTGGCTCCGAAGCCAAATGACCAAGACTTACCAAGTGCTCCTGAATGGGATGCTAGTGTCTGAATCTTGGGGATAGCTTATTGTGCCTGTGAGGTGGGCATTCGTGACATCTGTCCCGTGCGTGCTGAGGTGTAGCCACAGGGCAGTATGTACCATAGTGCGAGGCAGGGTATGCTGCCCTCATCTCGTGAATCCTGCATGCCAGGGAAGGCCAAGTTCTCTGTGAAGTCATCCTGGCTTGTTGATTCCTTTGCAGATGGCTGCTCTTGGGGAAGCCCGCCTGAGGGAGATGGAAGCCCTGCAGTCTCTCCGACTTGCCAACGAGGGGAAGCTGCTGTCGCCTGTCCAGGATGTGGAGACCAAGATCTGCCTATGTCAGAAGGGCCCAGCTGCCCCCATGATTCAGTGTGAGCTCTGCAGGGCTGCTTTCCACACGGGCTGTGTGACAACAGCCGCCACTGCACAGGGCCCTCAAATCTGGCTCTGTCCCAACTGCCGGAGGTCAGAGAAACCTCCACTTGAGAAGATTCTGCCACTGCTGGCCTCTCTGCAGAGGATCCGGGTTCGCCTTCCCGAGGGAGACGCGCTTCGGTACATGATCGAGAGGACGGTAAACTGGCAGCATAGGGCCCAGCAGCTGCTCTCGTCAGGGAGCCTGAGATCTGTGCACGAGCACGTGGGCTCGGGACTATTCCACAGCAGGTGGCCAGCCTCGGTGGGGCAGGCGGCTGAGACATGCAAGGTGAGTCCAGATGTTGCAAGGTATCGTACTGTGTGTGCCACTGTGCCTCCCACCTCACCTCTGGCTCCCTGCTTTTAAGGGGCCATGGGGCCACCCTTCTCCTTGGCACTCTATTGATATGCATCCACCTCGTCACCTCCCGGAAGGATTTCTGTCTGCTTGGGTTTACTGTATGTACATTCCCTACAGGCAGATATGGGTCTTTTTGCTGGCCTCGGTTTTCTCGTTCTTGCCTCTCTAGCGTGTCACTTGGCATACAAGAGCCAGCTTCTTGCCCTCTGTGTCTTTTTGCACCATGAGGAAGGAGGCTTGGAATGGGGACATCAGGAAGCTGGCCAGGAGGGATTCATCTTTCAGATCTCAAGTGAACACGGATCCAGCCAATCAGATGGAGCAAAAACTATCTGCCATTAATTGCCTTTGAGTTTTTAATTTTCTGAAATACAGTATCTGACCCATGGCAGGTGGTGATCTAGTCATGTCTGGGGGCGTCTTCCGTGGGCTCGTTCACCTTCTTTACTCTGGCTGCGCTGGAGGGCTGAGACATTTTGCTAATTTACTGATCTGCGGCTCAGAGGAGTGTGGGCAGGTGAGGGAATGCGATTTCTGACAGCTCCTCATCGCATTTCCTCTAAGGGGGGATCTGCCTGTGCCCCAAGTAATCTCCAGGAAGTCCTAGGAGAAGGTGTGGTCTGCTTCCTCCCAAAGAAAAAGCTTGCTTCCAAAGTCCTCAACTTCCCGAGAAGCTAGGCGGAGTGGAGGCTTGGTCTTTGGCAAAGTGTTGATGTGGGGGTATTTAACCCGTTAGAAGCCTTATGAAGGACCTTGTGCCTTGCAGGTGTCTCAGCCTCCTGGCCCGACGTCCTTTGCCTCACCCAGTGACCGGGACAGCAGAACCTCACATGGACACTCGCCCTTCTCCACTGGGCAGAGCTGTGTTCCTCTCCATGGTTTGTATTCTGTCGATGTCTATTTTGAAGGCTGGGTAGGAATGGTATTTTGTGGCAGGTTTCTGTCATAGATGATTTAGTACCAAGAAAACCACTTTATCCGGAGTGAGCACTGGGCAGCGGCTTAAAGCTGCCACTTGAGACTCCTGCCTGCCATGTCAGAGCCTGATTTAATTTCTAGCTATTCCGCTTCCAATTCCGCTCCCTGCTAATGTGCCTGTAAGACCGAAGTCCCTGAGTCCTTGCCACCCCCATAGGTGACTTGGATGGAACTTCTGACTCCTGGCTTGGGCCACACATAGCTATGGCGGCCATTTGGGGAGTGAATTAGCTGATGGAAGGTCTCCCTCCCTCTATGTCCTATGTGCCACTCCATCCTTGCAAATAAACCAATTGATATTTAAAGGGTTGGAGTTTGCCGCATAAAAAGAGATTTCAGTGATCGGCTTCGTGTCCTTGACCACAGGGATGGGAACCTGCTGTGGTTTCATTACTTTGGAGACATGTGGAAAAGCTTTTTCCCCCAACTATCTATCCAGCGAATCTTGTGCCCTGCACTGCAGTTAGAGTCATCACCCATCCCAGTGTGTGGCTGCAGTGCCTCCGACTGGCTACTGCCATTTGTGCAGGAGCAGTAAGAATGGGAGGGCAATTTGGCATGGTGTTGTAGCTCCTGGGAATACCTGGCTTTGGGTCTGCTTGTATTGCTGGCTTAGGCACATGAGGTGAGCCCAATGTTGGTGGAAGGCAGCATAGAAGGGGTTGATAGTAGCAAGAGGGGGACCTGCCTCGCCCCTTGTCCTTACTTTGGTCTGGTCTGGTTTCTGACAGCCCTCAGTCCAGAAGTGAATGAACTGTTGATGGAAGCCCAGTTGCTCCAAGTGTCCCTTCCTGAAATTCAGGAGCTTTATCAGACCTTGCTTGCAAAGCCAAGCGCCCCTCAGCTAAGCGACAGGAGCTCCCCGGCATGGCCCAGTGGCGAGAAGGTGGGTATCTGTGGACTGCTCCTGTTGCTGTGTTGTGGGCACGGGGTGGCTCTCAGTGGGCTCCCAGCTGCTGTGTCGGGACCTATTGAAAGCCATGGAGTGGAAGGGGTAAGGAGCTTCTCAGCGTCACTGTGTGCTCTCCCTGAGTCCCAGACCTGATGTAGGACATGCTTGCAGATGCAAGGAGACTGCCTCCCTGGCAGAGCGCTCGTTAAACAGCCGCTTTGCTAGCACAGCTGAAAGCTCCCCATAACCGAGGCCCTGAGAGTGTGCTCAGGTCAGCAGCTGTGGGCAGGCTGTGGGGTGATGGACAGGCCTGGGCACTCTGTCAGCCACCCAGCGCTGTGGCTCAGAGGAGCATCTCTGTGACCCTCTCCTTTTCAGGGTGCCAAGGGAAAGGGCGTGGTGGGTTGGCTGCACTGGCGGTCCCGCGGGACTTGGGGTTAGGCTGTAGTGTGCTCCCACCTGGTGTCTGCCATATTCTCTGGGGGCCGTCCTGGACTGACACTGGATTTGCCCGTCTCCACCCAGAATGACTGCTGCCGGGCGAAGCGTGATGGAGTCAGCAGTGTGGAGCGAAAGCTCAAGAGACGCCTGGAAAGAGAGGACCTTGCCAGTGAACGGTGGGATCGAGTGAAAAAAATGCGGACCCCCAAAAAGAAGAAAATCAAACTAAACCACCCCAAGGACACGAACAGTTTCAAGTTAGAGAGAGAACGTAGTAGCTATGAGTCGGCACGTTCTGCCGAGAGCCACTCCCTGCCCTCAGACACGTCCCATTCAGAGCAGGAGGACTCAGAGGACGAAGACGCCGTGTGCCCTGCCGAGAGCTGCCTGCAGCCAGAAGGAGACGAGGTCAGTGAGCTGGGGGCCGTGGGGGCCATGCTTCCCCTTAACTCAGGCGCCCCGTAAGCTAGACTCGCCGCGCCGGGCTCTCTGCTCCTCTGCTCCCAGCTCGCCTGCGGGCTCGCTCACTCCTCCCCGCGGGGCTCTCTGCTCCTCCATCGTTCCTGGCTCTCCTCTCTTTCAAGAAATTCCTGTTCCTCCCTTTCTCCTCTTCTCACTCCTCCGGCTGTCACCGTCCTGGCGCTAAGCAGGTGGGAGGGTGCTGCTGCCGTGCCCCCGTGCGCACTGGGCCGGGGCAGCCCTGGCTTGGCCCCAGAGCAGTCGTGGCTTGAAGAGTGACTGATGCGGTTGCTTGGGCCTCTGGGCCGGCTGCACCCGTGTGGCTTAGCTGTCCAGCCACGGTCCCACCTGGGTCGTGAGGCTGGCCTGGCCAATGTCGAGTCGCCTTGTCTCCTGAAAACCCCGTCTTCCTGCTCTTTGTAACCAGGTGGACTGGGTCCAGTGTGATGGCAGCTGCAATCAGTGGTTTCACCAGGTCTGTGTTGGTGTCTCTCCAGAGATGGCAGAGAAGGAGGACTACATCTGTGCCCGCTGTGCCGGGAAGGAGGCGCCAGGCCGGAAGTGAAACACACACAGACACCCCGCCCCGTGCCATTCAGGACTCCCACCGGGAAGATTTCTTGAAATCTCAGCAAAGCTGCAGGACTGGTGTTGAAGCCAGCCTGTAAACGGTGCTATTTCTATTCCTTATGGGATCATTTTTCCAGAACTCTTTGAAAAAAAGAAAAAACAACTAAAAAAATTTTTGACACTTTTTGTATTTTTCCTTAAGAGCTGTTTGTGGTGTGGAGGGGTGAGATGGTGACTGCTTCCTGCAGGGGTCCCCACCACCTGGAAGGCCCTGGCACACACGCCTGGCCCTGCATGGCCCTGGCGGCTCGCCTCCGTCTGGAATGGACCAGCCCGCAGCGCAGCTCGGACTCCGTGTCCAGATGGGCACCAGAAATTCCAGTAAATCCTCATCTGAGGAATCTCTCTCGTTTACTCTGGCACCAAGGGGGACTTGACCATTTTCCACTTTGGGGTTTTTTTGTTTGTTTGTTTGTTTGTTTGTTCCTTTCTTTATTGACACACTTTTCCTTTCCTGGTAGACTAGGTTTATTTATCTGAGCAATAACTTCTATGTTGGTTTCAGTGGCTGGAATTAAAACAAAACAAAACAACCTGTGCGCTGTGTGTTGCTGCTTTAGCATCGCTGGTGTGCAGAGCGCACGCGTCCGGGCCGGGCTCGCAGCGGACTGGCACTGCTCCGCCGGCCTTGGCCACACAGCTGTGCTTTGGCTTCCTCTCGGCTCCTGCCTCCTTGCCGATTTTGGTAGCTTGTATCAAATGTTGCAGTTTTTATTGTGGAATAAACCTTCCTCCTCACAGAGCGCTAACTGCTGGTTATTGAGAGCCCATGGAGTGCAGCCCCTGGTGCCCCTCGGCCTGCAACAGCTGGGAGCTGCTTGGGAAGCCATGCTGGTGCCCCAGTGCTGGGGTGCGTTCTCCCATTCTGAGGGAGCGATGTCTTACACAGGCTTGCAGGAGACCTGGGCCAGGGCTGAGGGTTGGAAGGAAGGGTGAGGAAGAGAGGGCCAGGGAGGAGGCTCATGACCCTTCAGGCTCTGCCTTTCCAGTGTCCTCCCCACCTCTCCTGCGGTCCTCGCAGGCTCTGGACACTGCTGCTGCCCCCGTGGCCTCTGCTGTGTCGCAGTAACAGCACCCCTGGGAGCAGAGTACACGGGTTTGGTTTGTCCTGTCACTAAAACTTGTTTTCCCATGTTCTGCAGCCATAACCTGGAGGAGGTAGAACTAGAGGGTTTTTAATGAAATCAAACAACAGCAGTTTGTGATGTAGCAAGATTTCAATGTACCACCCCCTTTTATGCAATTCATATAATTAAATTCTTTCTGAATGACTCCCAGTTGTCTACAGCGTCCTATGGGTGTTGTCTCTCCTTGTACTGCGGGACCTGTTGCAGCAGGGCACAGTCCAGTAGTGGGCTGGTGTGGCCTTTGTGGTAACCCCATGCTGGGAGCCCGCCTGGGGTAGCATGCCGGTGGCTGGAGAGGTCGTGCTGGGCACTGGGGGCTGCTGCAGAGTCTGCCCACCAGTCAGCACCACGCCGCCCTCCCCCCCCCCCCCAGCAGTTTCCTGCTGTACTTGGAGATTCTGAGCCTTCCTGATACCTGTGTCCTTGGTGTTCCTGAGGAAACTGCCCACTGCCCTGCCCACGGGTGAGGACCCTGGAGATAGAGCGTTGGGTTGCTGCCCCACACTGACGTGCTGGGGAGCCACAGGAATTCTCCCTCACACCTCACACTTAGGTCTTGCATTGTGCGAGGTGACTGCCCTGATGCCGTCCATGTTGGGGCCGCACTGCTCCCTCTGCTGGCCTGGGCCTGTGACTGCCCCTGTGGGTATATGTGTTGGGATGGGTGAGGACTGTGTAAAGTGAGGGCCTGAGCCAGTAGGGGTGAGTGAGCAAGCCACAGGGCCACTGCCCTGGGCAGTAAAGCTGGGGCAAGGGTGCCCACCTCATCACAATGGCTGCTGTCTGCTGTTTTGCTTTTGCTTCCAGATGGAGAGAGCAGGTAACTGACCCTGGCTGGGCAGGGCTCGCTCCGACATGCCGGGAGCTGGGACAAATTTTCCCAACACAAGGATGACCTGAAGCAGACACCGCCTGTGGTGTCAGTCACTGCTACACCTGGGTCCCAGCTGTGTAATCTGGGGGCTGGTTGTGGGCAATTCATCGGGGAGGTCCTGAATCTGCCGTGACAGCCTACCACGGAACACCATGGTTCTTGGGCCAGTGCAGGGGAGTGTGAGAGCAGAGCAGGGGCAGAACATGATACTATCTTAAAGACTGATTCATTTTTATTGGAAAGGCAGATTTTATAGAAAGGAGAGACGGGAAGATTTTCCATCAGCTAGTTTACTCCCCAGTAGCTGCAACAGCTGGAGCTAAGCCATGTGAGTCTCCCACATGGCTATAGGGTCCCAAGGCTTTGGGCCGTCGTCCATTGCTTTCCCAGGTTGCAAGCAGGTTGTTCAGCTGTATGGGAAGTGGAGCAGCTACAGCATGAACTGGCACCCACACAGGATCCCAGCACCCGCCAGGCAGGGATTTAGACACTGAGCCATCACAACCAGCCCCTTGGGAGGCCATTTTCACATAGGTCGACATGAGTAAGCACAAAGCCTAGCTCTGGCTTAGTGCCAGCTTCTGTGCACTCTGTGTAGTTCCTTCCAGGCTGTGTCCTGTAGCACTGCGAGCAGAAAAACATCCCCAGCTCCTGCAGCAGAATCCTCCGCCTACTGCATGCTGTGGAGGCAGGTCTGAGCAACTTCCTTAAATCCATCTACATGATATACAGCATGCGGGGCCAGCATTGTAACGCGGTGAGTTAAGCTACTGCAGACCACAGAGACATCCCAGATCAGAGTGTCAGGTGCAGTCCCATCCAGCTCCCTGTTCAGGCACCTGCAAACAGCCCAAATATTCCAGCATGGGACACCTGCATGTAGTTCTTATCCTGGCCTCTGCTGCTCTAGTTATTCAGAGAGGGAACTCACACGTTGGGCCCTAAACATTTCTCCTTATAAGATCACCCCAGGGCCCGGCGCGATGGTGTAGTGGTTAAGGTCCTCGCCTTGCACGCCCAGGATCCCATATGGGCGCCGGTTCTAATCCCGGCAGCTCCACTTCCCATCCAGCTCCCTGCCTGTGGCCCGGGAAAGCAGTCGAGGACGGCCCAAAGCTTTGGGACCCTGCACCCACGTGGGACGCCGGGAAGAGGCTCTTGGCTTTGGATCGGCATAGGATCGTCCGTTGCACTCACTTGGGGAGTGAATCATTGGACAGAAGATCTTCCTCTCTCTCCTCTCTGTATATCCGCCTTTCCAATAAAAATAAAATCTTTTTTAAAAAAGGGAGGCCTAGCATGATAGCCTAGTGGCTAAATCATCACCTTGTAACCAATCCCATAGTAGCACTGGCTGTGTCCTGGGAAAGCAGTGGAGGATGGCCCGAAGCCTTGCCATGATCCCACCAACCATGGGAAGAGGAACTGCAAGGAGCAGCAAAGATGCCAGCACCAAGTGGGACCAGGACCTTCCTCTGCTGCTGGCGATGTGAGCATTGGCTGCACCCTGGCCCCTTGTCACCAGTGTCCCTGCATGCGGCTCTTCAAGCCTCTGAGTGACTTCCTGTGTGGCCCCAAGCAGGAGCATTGCTGAAATGCTGCTGACACTGAAACTCCTGTTGTACTGTGGACAAGGCCTTTGAAGGGATGAAGAATCTGCCGGTAAAGTGTGTTTCACTCATCCCTACCAAGTTACAAAGATACCGCTGCGTGTTGCATGCCACTGTGCACCTGGATGCATGCAGCAGTGAGCACATTGGTGTGGGGATGCAGAAAGGCAGCCTGTGACAGGATGGCCGCCTGGCCTGTTTGGGGGTGAATTGCAGGTGGTGGGAGATCACGGGATGCTGAGGTCACTTGCTCTGCCGCAGGTGAGTGGAGACCCAAGGATATCTGCCACCCTTGTTCTTGGGTGGAAAATAAAGGCATTACTAAGGGCACAGGTGTGTGGGCTATACCTTCATGTCTAATGCCACCTACCCACAGCACACGCCTGGCACATCTGCCCCTGGCTGTCACTCCATCAGGAGTTTGCAGGAACCACGTTTGAGACCCTATGCCCCCATTTGCATCCCTGCCAGGGCCTGTTCCAGACTGCAGTTCAGAAAACACACATCTTCTGCATGTGGGGCAGTTTGAATGTTCAGAAATGAAGTTGGAGCGTGGAGAAGTTTGAACTTCTAAATGCTTTAAACTGCAGTATTCCCAGTACCCATGATGCACTGTTTCCGGATGGGGCATATTTAAACTGACTAAAGAATCAGACATCCTGAAAGAGTTTCATTTTATTCTTTTTTTTTTTTTTTTTTTAAGATTTTTCATTTGAAACGCAAGAGTTACCAGGAAAGGAGGCTTACTTCCTCCCAGTTGGTTTTTATCCATGAGCATCATGACTAGAGCAGGTTGACGTGTATTTGAGACATGGCAGCAAAGAGCGGGTTCCAGGCAGGTGCTAAAGCAAGCCATGGCCGTGAGGACTGTGCTGGAGAGTTGGGGAGGCGCATCCCACAGTTGCTGTTCATGTGTTCTGCTGTGGGTCTTCCTGGTTGTGGGATGCTTTATTTCCTGGGAAGGTGCCAACCTCACAGGCATGCTCAGCCCAGCAGTGGCCTCCTGCAGGCACCAGAATGCATGGTGGGCTGCTCCAGCCGGGCCAGACCCCACTACTCTGCTCACCTGCTATCCCCTCCACCCCAGGAAATGTGAGGAGGGAACCCAGGGAGAGCGGTGTCCAGAACCCCCAGAGGTATCTAAAGAAGAAACCACTGGCAGGTGAGATTGCACTGTTGGCATTCAGCAGAATGGGTCTGAGCCATTGCAGAATCTCTGGCAACTCTACCTGGCGTGCTGGGCCTGGCCACCAGATGGCAGCAAAGCCTTCATGGAGCCATCCTGTGATGGAGGTTTAGCCTGGCCAGGAGGGAACAAAATATTGTGAGCTTGGACACACTTCACTGGGGCTCCAGCTTTTCCTAGCAGAGAAGGCAATTGGATTTTGTGCCTCCTTTTCCTCAACTTCTATCTTTGGACAGGTTTATTTCTAGACTAAGAAAAACTGGGTCCCCACTGGTGCTGTGACTCATAATGGCTAATCTGCCCATGGTTGTCAGCATCCTCTGTGGGCACTGGTTCACGTCCCAGACGTTCCACTTCCCATCCAGCTCCCTGCCTGTGGCCTGGGAAAGGAGTAGATGACAGCCCAAAGCCTTGGGACCCTGCACCTGCGCAGGAGACCAAGAAGAAGCTCCTGGCTCCTGGTTTCAGACCAGCTCAGCTCCAATTGTAGTGGCTGTTGGGAAGTGAACCAGTGGATGGAAGATCTTTCTGTCCCTCCTTCTCTCTGAAAATCTACTTTTCCAAGAAAAATATATATATTTTTTAATTGGAAAGTTAGATATACAGAGAGGAGGAGAGACGGAGAGGGAGATTTTCTGTTCATTGATTCACTCCCCAAGTGGTTGCAGCAGCTGGGGCTGAGCCAGTTTGATGCCAGGAGCTTCTTTCACATGGGTGCAGGGTCCCAAGGTTTTGAGCCATCATCAGCTGCTTTCCCAGGCCACAAGCCGGGAGCTGGATGGGAAGTACATCCGCCCAGATACGAACTGGTGCCCATATGGGATCGCAGCAAACGCAAGGCAAGGATTTTACTGCTAGGCTACCATGCTGATCCCAAGAAAAATATTTAAAACAAGCAAAAAATCAGGGTGTCCAGAGCCATCTTCTTTGGAGAAGTGTTGGGGATGAGCATGAATTACTGCGGGCTCAGTTGGAGGGGCTGCAGCCTCCTAAGCTGTGCCGGTGGTCTACGCCTGAGCCCCGTGGGAGCCATCGCAAGGCCAGAATGACTTGAGTAAGATTGTGGGTAGTACTGCACCAGACCTGAATCCCGGAGCTGAGCTAGACCCTGCCCCTCCTGAGTGCTGGTCCTATATAGATCAAGCCTACCCACTGCACCACGCGAGGTCTCGGAAAACACTAGCAGTATACACTAGCACCTGATGTTGATTAATACGTGGTGACACCTGACAGAACAGCATCAGCTTAGGGCTTTACAAGTGGTATGCATTCCCTACTGTGCTTATTAGGTACCATTTCCAGGGTCGGGGCCAAAAGGCCGGGGTCTAGACGCCTCAGAGTTTGTGGGAAGAAGCTTGTCAGCGAGGCTTCTACACCCATCAGACCATTGAAGACTGGAGGCTGGGGGTCTTGGCAGAGGGCTGTGTCCAAGTCTCCCGCAGTTTTGCCCAGAAAGATTGTGGCACATTTTCTAG